TAAACCACTTCTTCTTCTGCCGACTCTACGAATGACTAGAACATATTTCAAAACCTATCCAGATTGCAGAAATCAGTATGCATGGCATATATGTGAGCACTGCAAAACTTTGACACCATAATTTTTTTTTATTTAACAATATTTTTTTTATAGAATCGCTTTAAATTAAAGTCTAACAATAATTTTTAGAATCTTAAAGACTAATAACATTACATTACAAATTATTTAATATAAACATACTATAATAAAATATATAACAATTATATATAATAAAAACAATCAATGTTTTTATATATGTTGCGGCTAGTTGAGTTGAGTCAGTGCACCTGAGCACTTTTACTCTCTATTAACTGCGAGGTTTCTACAAAACCCCTCTTTGCGCCTTGACTGGATTATTGTTTATTACTTCATTAGACTAGGCAATAATTGACCTCAGATCTGCATATCTCCCCGAGGAGTCTGTAACCATTCTGAGATTTGATAACGCGGTGTTAGTAAGTCTGTCAGATTTCGCAAACAATTTCAGGGCTCTATCCTTTATGTATTTTTTGATGGGATCAATCTTGAGGTCCCTGAGGATGTCATTCGTCCTAATGTACCAAGGAACTTTAAAACCTGGCTTTGTGCAATTTCTAACTGGTGAATAGTAGTGTTTGAAGCTTTGCTAAACGCTACACAACCATATAGAAGTGACGGACAAATTATTTGGTTATATATCAGTTTCCTGTTCTTAGCATTGAGGTTTTCATTTCTAAATAGCGATGTTTTTATATCCGTTTATTATCTTCTATACAGATGTTAATTATTTTAAGCGGTCTTAGTGCTTATTTATCAGATATCACGACGTATCAGTTGAATTAATCATGGCGATCGTTAGAAAGGCAGGATGGCGGATCTTTTATTCCGTTTCAGTCTAGAGGAATTTGTTATATTAGCAAGAGGTCTAGCCATAGGACTTACATGCTTTTCAAGATTTGGAATATGTTTCTGCCTTATTTTCTCGAACTCGACTGTAACCATAAGTCGTTAAAATGGAAGTAATAATATTATATGAATAAGAAACAATAGAACACTTCTTCTACAGTTGTTCAAGTATAGCTAGAGTTCTAGCAGGATGAACTTTCTATGCCCATATGTCTTTAGCTCTCTTTAATAGGGCACCAAAGCGTTAACATTCAAACCATCTTACGCTTTATAAGAGCCTCAAAATCTTTCCATCATATATTTAAAGATCGATAAGTTCATTATTTACCAAACTAAACTCATGAAAATTAAAAGAATGAATTACAAAAAGTAAATAAAAATAAAAAGTCATTACGAATAAAGAAATAAGAAAATAAAGAAAACAAGGAAAGCAAATTGTATATTAAAATGGAATGCCTTAAATAAAGTTAAGACAGAACACAAGAATTCGGTGGATTCAGAGAGTTTTGGATCTATCTAAAAGATGTTAAGAATTCAGTTTGGCTTCCAGGTGTTAAAACTCCTATAAAGAAAAAGTACATAATGGTGTTATAACGTAATTTCACATCAGGCTGGCAACTATAATAAGAGCTCCATTAAATTCTGTTAATAACCTATTGAAATGTTTTTATAAATGTATACTTTGAAGCCCAACATATCCTCCTGACGAATAATATATTGTATTTGCACTTGTTAATATTGTAATAAAATCACCAATAACTTTGTTTTTAAAGACCCAGGTTATTTTCATGTGGTGTTGTTCTGATTCCCGACTAAATGGGAAATTCAGTAAGCATTAAAAAAGTGGGAGTTTATAAACTACTTAAAAACCGATTTGTGATTAACTTACAAAAAGGTCTGAAGAACTTACAGCAAAGGACATTTATGTGCAACATCTAATACTTTCTTTAGAAAATAATACTTCATTTTTTAGGAGTTGCCGTGTATGTATGAAATATATCCTTTACACATATAATAAATGTATATAATATAATGTAAACAATACTATATGTAAGTGAAAAGGATTTTGTAAAACGTACAAAACACTTATGTATATATTATTACTCCGCAGCGATTTTTAAAACTTGCAACTGTATTTAGTTTTTTTTTAATAAGTTATTGAGAGACGCAACTCTAATATCTAGCTTAATACTGAATTAATTTAAATAAAAAAAAATAAAAATGGCTGATGAGCCTCTGATGGCACAGTGCAGGTAACAGTACACCATCGTCCTAGGAGTATGAGTTCGATTCCCACAGAGTGGCTGGTGTAATGGGTGGCGGGGATGTATGGATCGCAATACCTGCCATAATTGGAAATTTGCTGTTAGTGTAAACAGACTTCCCGGCGAAAAAGAATATCCAACTCCAGAAGATAGTTAGCAACAATTGCAGCATCCTAACACAAAAGCGCTATGCGGACGAATATGGATTTTGAGAGTTCCATAGTTCTCTTCAACATATGTATATATATATAAAAACATGTTCAACACATTTTTCCTACATTATACAATGTTTTTATTTCCGTTTATTATCTTCTATACAGATGTCACCACCATTATCCATACACCTTCCCGTCTGATATGCAACAAAACTATCCCAAACTATATATATATGGTAATAATAACACATCTTGAGTAGTATAATACATCTTGACTTATTGTCCATAGAAGGCTTATTTTGTGTTATTAGTACAAAATTTAAAATGAATGAATTTCATATTATTTTTGATAACGCTTTTTCTGTATTATTTTCTGTATTAGTAATAAAAAATGAAATAAATATTTAAAACTTCAAATATTTTATTTCATTTGACAATATTAATATTATATATATATATATAAATAAATATATATATATGGTATATACATTTTAAATGTTCTCTGCGGCCACAGTTCAAGATGTATTGAATTGCTGCTGTTATTAATAAATTGTAACATACTTTGTGGCTACAGTAATTGTCAAACAGTTTTACAGTAGTGGCAATTAAAATGTGCTAACAACAAATACAAATAAATAAATTTTTAGTTTATTAAATTATATCATATTATTAATTTATCTTAAATTTAAAGTAAAAGTAAAAAACTACATATCGAACTATTTAAAATCTATATAAATAAATTTAAATTGTGATTTTTTGACTTTACTTATATATAAACCAAAGCAAACATTATTAACTATATTCTAATTAATGAGAGCCTAAAATATTTTAATGACGTTATTATCGAAATAAAGTCAATTTGTGCAGCAATTCGTCTAATTGTACTGATTTAGTCTTTATTTGCAAATAATTTGGCAAAATATAGTTGTTGTGTTATACTAACATATATTTAGACAGTTTTGCTCATTAAGGTCGCTAATGAAGATAATTTACCATATAAAGAGTTTTCATATAAGTGAGCTCATTATAGATACGTCAATTGGTTTAAGGCGAAAAATGTCGAATGCAACACTTAAAAATAAATTTCCCACAAGAGAAACTACCAAAAATTTTAAATATTTGTCATACGTGTAATATGTGTTTTATATGAAAACAAACTATTTTATATGCATAAATCAGCTTATGCCAGTGGAAACTACCAAATCTTAATTTCATTAACACAAGTAGTTTTAGCTGCAGGGGAAATATAATATTAATTATTATTAAAATAATAAAAATTAAAATATTAATTATATTTTCTAAAATCATCTAAATAAAATAATTGTTGTTAAAGGCAGAAATTAGTGAGTTAAAGAGATAATTAGAAACAGAAGTTGTTTTACACTCAGTGACGGTCTCAGAACTACCAGCGCCCTAAGCGAGATTACTATGGCACCTTCGATCTTCTATCAAAATCATAGTTGTTATGAACTGCCTAGTAAGATCTAAAGTGTCTTGTAACTTTGTGAAGTACTGTTTACGTACACAAGCCAAAAATATTAAGAAAGGTTTATAATTTTAATGCGATTGGAAGTAAAAAGACTTAAAAAGAAAATACTTTGTACTGAAAATTAAGTTGGCTCTAACCGAATAGAAGTTATTAAGCATTTTGATTGCAGATTGGAAAATCTCTTTTTTTTTGTATTTACTAATACCAAATAGTAGCTTCTAGCCCAGTATTCGTTTTATATCCCAAATTAAAACTTGGCAGTTCCAAAGAATTCTCATATTCTGTTAGATAGGAACGATATTCTTTTTCCACAAAACGATCAGTGTCGTTGACTGACTGAGTCAGTAATCTCAGTTCCCTTATACTAAGCACGGACGTCTCTTTGAAATTAAAGTAAGAGAGCCAACTTTTGATTTTAACAGTAACTGGTGTTTCGGAAGTAAGTATGTATTAGAAACTTAATATAATGAAGTTAAATGCAATTGAACAGCTTTTTAAGCTTTGCTAAACATTTATGTTGGTTTTTATGCCTTTGGTTTTTTGTAGGGTAACTCAATAGGCCAAAACGTAAATTCTTAGGTTCACCACTATAACCTGTTCTAACCTAAATACACCACAAACTTAATCATTTTCTCAAATATGTTCAATTAATTAATTTAATTAAATAATTTGTATTAAGTGAAATAGTGTCTGTAGTCATAACTACATAAAAATTAAATATTAAATTTAATATTTATTTTTAATATGAGAATAAGTGGCATTTTTCTCAGATTTTTTTCTATCTACCCACAAGAAATAAAAGTTTTATTTATAAAAGTTAATTTATTAGAAATGGTTCATCTTACACATAAAGATATAAAAGTATCTTACAGCTAAGTATTAAAAATATTTACATTGACTTACAAATTAAGTAACATTTGGTATCTGTTCATAGAGAACAATAAACTAATTCTCAGAGCAATTTGACGATTCTCAGATTGAAATCACTGCAGGCGACTAACTGTTAATTATTACTGCTATTGTGTTTTATTTTCAAATAAATTTGAAAAAACAAAAACAAACTATCTTAAAAGAAACTAAACTAAACTTAAATAAAATATAAACTTAAGAATAAGATTTTTGCAAGCATCGGACAAATTCGCACGTTCAACTAAACTTCATTCAAAATTATACGCGTTTTGTGATTTTAACACGTAATCCGTCCTTGGGTCGCAAAATTAATTCACCCAAAAGTGTTAAATCTTCACGTCGGTCTACGGCTTCAATTTTATATTTACGCAAAACACTTGATAGCACGGCCTTCTCTTCCAATATGGCGAATTTTTGTCCAATGCAATTACGTGGTCCAGCGCTGAAAGGTATATAAGCGAATGGATGGCGTCCAGCACAATTTTCAGGCAAGAAATTATCAGGATTAAATTGTTCAGGTTTGGGGAACACTTTTGGATTGCGGTGCAACATATAAGTCATGATAATAGCAGTTGTGCCAGCTGGTATCAAGTAGTCACCTTTAAAATATTAAGAAAATGATAAAGTAAAATTTAGTTTAATTTAAAAAACTTAAAAACAACTTACCGATTTTAACATCTTCACCAACGGAACGAGCCATCATAGGTACACTTGGGAAGAGACGTAAGGCATCCTTGATACAACACTCTAAGTAACGCATGTCCATAAGATTTTTCATAGTAGCTGGTGTTTCCCTATCATCACCGAAAATTGAGTCCAATTCTTCCACAACACGTTCTTGATATTCTGGATGTGAACCGAGTAAAAAGAGAGTCCACGAAATCGCAGCTGAAGTGGTATCGTGACCTTCAAACATAAATGTATCAACTTCTTCTCTTATATCCTCATTAGAGAGTACAGTGCCTTCTTTCGATGCGTCAATCAATAAATCCAAGAAAGCCAAACGTTTCTTCTTGCCCAAATCATCGTAGGCGTCAGGTACATTATTATTCACATTGTTATTCAGAATATTATCAGCTAATTCCGCTTTACGCTCACGTATGACCATATTCGAGAATCCGTGCAAAGTGTTCACGTAGCTCTGGTGACGCTTATAGTCCTCAGTCCAACGAAAGATGGAATCGAATTGTAACCACAATTTCGACTGACGACTCTGCACAATTTCACCAATGCTGTTTGCATGAAAAAAAAAATAAATAAAAAATATTTAAAATTATTTAATTGAATTTATCTGAGTAGTTATTTTTGTTAATGGTTGAAGAGTTTTTTTTTTTTTTGTTGGCGGTAAATATATTTTATTTGTGCATTTATACATGAGTGCACTTAATTGTATCTACGCATTTATTGCATACTAATGTGTGAGGTGTGAGTGTGTGTGTGTGTGTGTTCACTCGATGTTTGACATCTTAATCTTGCTCATATTTTTCACATGAATGCCTTGCACCCTCAGTTTATATAATAGGAGTATGTGCTGCGCTGTCAGTATTGACAGCTCTGATATTAAACTTTCGTCTACAGTGACAACTCATTTTCATCGAAGTTCAGATTACAACCACGAACATGGAAGAAAAATGATTTAAAAGTGATTTTTATTCTTTACTTTTGGTAGTGCAGAAGAGAAAAATAGAGTAAGGGTTAGCTTTAGTTTTAAAAATGACCCAACTCGACTTCAATGTATAACTCTGCTATTTATTTTATATTAATTTATATAAAAATTAATTAAGAGGTTTTTCGAACAGTAGTGAACTACAACAACAAAAATTTATTTTTATATTATTTTAATTAATTTAATTTTTGGCTGACAATACAGCTGTTTCGAGTATTGCCAAACACACATTATCAGTGGTCTTGAAAATAATTCTTGTATGTAATAATTTGTAAATAGTTTTTTAAGACTGCAAGTACAAGAAATCAAACTCGTGTCATGCCAAAAAAAATTAATATTAAAAATAATAGTGTATAAAAAATTTTTAAGAATAATGTATAAAACAGAGGTAGTATCTCTTAACAGCTTCTGAATAGATAAGTATCCCTTTAATGACTGCAAGCTTATTATTTAAAATATATTTGTAAGAATACCATTGATTGTATATTTAGAAAGCTGTAGAAAGCTTAAAACTTGACCTTAAAAACAAAACATATTCCAATACGACGCTCATCCTAATAATGAGGATTGTGAGAATGATGAGATTATCCTGCAGGAAATGGAGATTTTTTAAAAAATCACAACTGGTTTGTTTTAAATAATAATAATAAATTTCACACTCTCTATATACTCTATCTAGATATATGACATTCAGTGATGAGCTAACATAATTCGTAATATTATCACTAAAAAATCTTGGGATAATTATAATAAAATATTGAAAATTCGCTAATTATGACCACCGTAAAGATCTACTATTGATCTACTGCTGATCTACCATTGGAATCAACCAACCACCCACCCAATGAAATACACAATATCGTGCTACGCGTTCTGTTAAGTCTAACGTTATATGCTGCTTCAAATTTGGCAGGGCACGAACTCAATACTTAGGTCCTGTAGTCTCAAAAAATAATTTAAGAATAATTAAATATATCTTGGTAATACTTAAAACACAGTTATATGGTTAGTTAAAATTTCAATTGATTAATAATTAATAAAAATTTTGTTGTTGTGATTTACTACTATGCAAAATACCTCTCTATTAAGTAACATGGTTTCTTTCGTCATAATTGACTTTAAAAATAGAATTTAATAATTAAAAATGTTTTCGATATGCAAAGGAATATATAGCACCTTTGAAAAAAAAAGTGAATTTTTTATTTTAGATCGATCCAGGTAAAGTCGTATCATCTCACACCTAAATAAAAAAATTGATCCAACAATAGAACAAATTTCTAAAAATCACATCTTTATCTACTTATTTGGATACAAATATACCTAATCTGGAGAATTAGCAAAGAATAAATGAAATATATTAAAAATTTTATTTTTTGGTTAATTAAGTCTTTTTGTTGGTATTTTTTGTTAATTTCGTTTTTTTTTGATTTTAAAAATAATATCTTAATTAAAATATATTAAAAGCTTTAGTTTATAAGCTATATATACATTATTTGTATATGTATATTTTTGCAGTATTTTCTGCATCTATAATAGATTGTATTTATTTATATATTTAATAGATTGTACCTGGCTTTTTTAGTCGACATTGAACCAGTTCACGAAGTTAATTCATTATAAATCATTGCAAAGATAAAAAACTCTTAGTTACTTAATGATTTCTACGTGCTTTATATATATCAAAAGGGAAAATATTATATTAACGGAACAAACCATATAATTATAAACAAATGATTAATTATTTTACAAGTAAAAAAAGTAAAGCTTGAAATATTTCAAAATTTCAATACAATTGAATTTTTAATTAATTTCTCAAAAATGTTTAACTTATGTTATTTAAATAATTTTTTTATTTTATTTTATTGTTTATATTTAATTCAATTAGTATTACATTCACTGCAATTACACTTTCAATTACTTCCGCACAGTTTCGAATATTTTTTTTATTTTTTTATTATTTTTTTTTTGATGAATTTATTTATTTTTAAACTGTTTTTCACACAAAGTGACAGGTTTTTAAACAATTGATTGTTTTGTTTTAAAAATGAAACCTTTGTCTTGAATACAAATAAATTTTAAATTATTTATTTATATATTTTAATATAAATATTTATTCCATATATGAGAAATATACTGTATTCAGAATTTATTACCTGTATTTATTTATTATTATTTTAGATATTTATTATATACATTTCTAACATTACCTTCATTTATTTTATTGTATATTTAATTCTTTTTTATTAATATATTATATATATAAAGATATCATATATTGGTATATATTATATATTTTTTTGTTGATTTTGTAAGTTCTTCTGCCTTAACCTATCTTAGAAATAGTTTCATAATAGTTTGAAGTCTTAGTTTAAATGAAACTAATATAAGCCAAAAAATCCAATATTGCACTCAATATTGAAAAAAATATCTTCGAAATTAGATAAGTCCTATTTAAGATCAATTATCAAATAATGGATGTCTTCTTTTTGATATTAAAGAAGTTCGATTGGTTGTCCAGAGATTAATCATTATCGAAATCTTATTTTTATCGAATTAAACTAAATAAGTCCTATCTAAAATCAATTATCAAATAATTAATGTCCTCTTTCTGATATTAAAAAAGTTCCGTTGGTTGTCCAGAGGTAAATCATTTTCGAAGTCTTATTTTTATCGAATTACACCAGATAAGTCCTATCTAAGATCAATTATCAAATAATTGATATATTTTGTCTGACATTAAAGAAATTCCATTGGTTATCCAGGGGTTAATTATTTTCGAAATATTATTTTTATCCAATTAAACTAGATAAGTCCTATCTAAGATTAATTATCAAATAATTGATATTTTTCATCTCATATTAAAGAAATTCCATTGGTTATCCAGAGGTTATATTATATTATATTTATGGGTAATAAAAATCGCGAAAATATTTTATTTTTTAATAAAATGGACACACTTAGTCTTGATATCGGGGAGATATTTAAAAACGGGTGAAGTTAAAGGGAATATGTTCCTGATAAGAGGATGTAGTGGTAGTCCATCTGGACCTTGCTAGTCCAGATAAAGTGACTTTATTTTAAATAGCGAAAATATTTTGTCTCTTTAATAAAAGTGGCAGACTTAGTGTTGATATCGGAGACACATTTAAGAATAGGAGTAGCTAAAGGGAATATGTGTCTTCTTGCAAATGCTTTGCGTTCACAAAAATAACCCTTTCCTCTTCTTCTTTTGACCCACTGTCAAAACAGTAGTCGTCTAAAAACGCACTATATTGTATGGCCTGCCTACACATGAGACAGTGTACGGCAATTGTGTTGCACTGTGAGTGAGAGTAATTATTTAATAATAATTAAATTTGTTTGTTGTGTAGAATACAAACTATTGTATATTGTCTTCACAGAAATAGTCTTCTCTATATCCAAAAAATTTCAATAAAATTATAATCATTTTAATTTAAGTAAAATAAACAATAAAGTCATTGCATAAAAAATTTGAAAGCTTATAAAATTAATTAAAAATCTTAGAATTATTTTCAAATAATTGAAGTGAATGAAAATTGGTAGCTGTGACGAATTTTCTGAATCTTTTTTTTCAAATTATGTTAGTATCTGGGCAGAATATTCAGTAGGTGATACAAACAATGTACAGTGAAGGTCTTAATAAAACTATAAAAATCCATTGACTTTAATTATTACAACGTTTATGTTTGATAGTTATTTTGGATTGTGTTACAATGAACTCTACGGAAACCTTGAATGCAGCTTCTTTATCTTGAGATAAAGTAAGATGTTAAGTAGTATAAATAACCCCGCAATTCTTTTGAAAATTTTTAAGGTTTTATCTCATGGAACATGTTGAAGATAATTTAAAATGATAATTAACAATTGTCATAAATACAAGTAATAGAAAATAAAAGTAAAAATCATTAGAAATACATAAGCAATGATATTTTTTATTGCTTCAACCAATCGCTTAGGTTGAAATCTTTATATTATCAAAAAACCTTAGAAAAAGAATGTTTATTTATATATAGTATATAGTATAAGTAGAACACTTGACGATTGCCTCCTTAGGGGCATAGTTATAAGTACTTCGCTGGTTTGAACTTTGTTCATGAACTTCACTCTGAAGTATCTTGATACTAAAGTACTAATAATGAGTACTTAACTTCGGACGTGAGTGACAATTTCTATGGCCAGCGTGATGAATGTTGTTTTACGATTTTAAAGCAAAGTACGTATTGGAATTGTATTTCAAAGCAAAATATTTAGAGGCAGTGGTAAAATTTAGAAATTATATTAGTAGTGTAATTAGTTGTACTAGTATCAGCAATAGGTTGTAAACATTTCATAAGGGAAGTGTCTTAGTACTTAAAGCTAATTGACATCAAACAATAATTTCATTATCTCAAAATATTTATACAATATATTAAGCTATATCATACTTTTGAGAAATCACTTTAATGGGTACTTAATATTCACTATTCATACACTGAGTTTTATTTTCTAATTAAGTAGCACTCCCACACAATCTGTCTGTATTTGAAAACCGTTAATTTTCAAATCGCTTTTATTTTACATACAATGAGTATGATTTTCCTGAAACTAGAAGAATACTTGAAAATTATGCCTGCCTATTTATTTTAATAATTATTAGCACTAATCACAGTAGAGTTTGTCTTAGGTAAAGCTATAATTTTATTACTTATTTATAAATAAGTAATAAAATATAAATTAAATTTAATAATTTTTCATATTGACAATAGCACATTTTATTGAGGCGCCGAAGCATGAAGCTGTGAATTTGTGAATCTGCCTCTCATTGTTTTTAGCTAATAATTGTTTAAATATGTATTACTTAATTAACCTATAAAATTAAGCTATTATGCATATACTTGCAATTATAATATATATGAAAATATTAAATTTTTATTACCCATAAACGGCTTTAACATAGTCCGAGTCGCTGTTACTTTGCGCATGTATATTTCTGCCCATAGCAGTTTCTGAAAAATAATTAATACATAAATACAAATAAAATAAAATTTAATTATAAATGTAAATAAATAAATTGCAACACACAGCGGAAGCTACTGGGATAAGTTAACATATTCTATTGATAGGTATTTAATAAATCAATAAAATTATAATAATATTAAGTCCACGTGAATTACTTTACATTGTACTTCGACTTTTGAACCTAATGAAAGTGTAAATATTTGCAAAATAAATAAAATTAAATTTTATCATTTAAATTTATTTATTTTTAGTAAATGAAACTTAAGTAGGTAAAAGCAAATACTTAGAAATAAATATATTGAATGTTATTTATATCCAAATAAAAATAGAACGAAATACCTATACATACTAGACTTCGGCAACTTCGTTATACTTCCATATATGCCAAGCGACTAATATCTCAATTAAGAGATTGAAAAAAATAGACCTTACAGAAGACAGCTGAAGTAAGCAGATATATCACACCAAGACAAAGGACAAAGTTAATCACCTGCGGCAGTAGCGGTTCCTGGACGCAGATCACACTGATGGAAGTTTTAAATGACTAATAAATGACTCTACCTAGAAGTAATACTAAGGTAGTCTTCGGGTAGGACAAGGTCTCTAGGAATGAGGGGAAGTGGTTTAGTTCATGCGAGTCGGGCACTCACTTTCCAGAACGCCGGATTGTGTTCAGTGCGTAGGCATTCCACTACTCCTCCTCCGCAAACAAATCAAAAAAATAAAAATATCTCAATTAACCAAATCATGAGAGAAGCAGGCAACAGAATAAGATTTAGAGAAATCGTTGAGGTCCTATGCTCCACTAGGAGAGAATGACACCAGTAAGTAGTTAAGTAACATCTCAATTACATAAATACAGTGCAACAATACAGAAACAATGAACATATATTTATTATTATTCTTTTGTCACGATAATATGATATGTAGTTAGTATGTTAGTACAATGCGAGTGCTTATATATCTCGTCTAACAACCGATTATTTGAACATTTAAAAAATCGAATTCTTGTGTGATCCATCATACACTTCTGATTTCGCACCCAATAATTTTTTCTTGCTCCCGAATGTCAAGAACACTCGTAAATTGCATGGACAATGATTTTTGACGGCGAAAGAAACCGTTGTTACATTTAAAAAGATGTCTGAAGCAGATTGGAAAAAATGCTTTGACAAATGGTTCGAACGCATGCAAAAGTGTTTTAATCATAATGGAGAATACTTTGAGAAACAATAAAACAAATCAGAATTTTTTCATTATTACCCTCAAAGTGTAAATAGAGACCCTCGTATTTAAAACTCTATAATCACTTGGATGTATTCACTGCATTCGAAATCCATTCATTTGATTCCTATTCAAAAATATAAACAACACCAACACAAACGACAACTACGTCTGTGTTTCATTATTTCATACACTTTCATATTCAAGCATTCACTCATTCAAAATCCATTCATTCGCTTTCTATTCACATATCAAATACTAAATTTATTTACATACATTTATATAACTTAAATAAATACATATAGCAATTAGTTTATACATATATAAATAATGAACTTACCACAAACAATATCTAATGTGCATAAAGTTACATATGGAAATACGTTGAAGGCTTTCGAGTTAAGTTCTTTTTCCAATTTACGGCTTAATATTGCGCTTTGTTCATTGAAAACATCAATGAAATCATCCAAAATTTTGAAGTGAAAGGCTGGAGTTAAAATCTGTAATATAAAAAATAGTATAAAATAGTTACCAGGAATTGTGTAATTTTAATTTCAA